TCATAAGAAAAATGACATGTATTTTAGGGAGCCATTTTAACAAAAGTTTATTAATGTGGAAATATTTCACACATAGAGATTTCTGTTATTTGCCTGATTATCATTATGCAAGTTTTTCTAATTGCCTAAGGGTGTCATTATGCTAATACCCACTTGTTATTTGCCTTCATTTATGTCAGTTAAGTAATGATGTCATGAACACAGACATATATGTGTTCACCTTTATTTGTGTTTCTCAACCTTGGCAACTTTAAGATACGTGGCTTTCAACTTTCAGAACATCTATAGAAATAATTAGTTCCCAGGTGGTAGGTTTAATTTTACTTAATCTTACAAGCCTACATTATACCCTGGACCTAAAATGGCAGACTAATTTGAGAGGCTGACTGGACTGCATGGGTTTTAAGCAACCAAAGGGCAGAGCCAAATCCAAAAAGGATTAGGGTTATTCATTTTTCAAAATTTCAGACATCCTTGTGTACACTGACTTTATTTTTTATTTTATTTTTTGGTATATAATTTTCACAATTTTAAAAACAAACCTAAGTCTAATATAATGTAAAATGGAGTGAATTTTTTTTAAAAAAACGAGAAAACCTAAAGGTGCAAAAAGAGTAAAAGAAAAATTGAAAAGAAACAAAATACACAGAAGGGCTTCAAATCTCCCATATAGCAGTTATAAGTACAATTATACATTGTTTCTCTAAAGTTATATTGTGAGCCTCTTCTTTCTAATTCCATTTAGTCATCAAAACCATTAATCGTAAGTATTTTTATGCAAAGAGTTCATAAAGGGTTTCCAATCACTACTAAACATTTATTATCTTTTATCTAATGAAAGAGGTCACTTTGGCCATTTCTATGAGTTGTATCATCTTTAACCATTCCTCTGTTGTAGGCACTGCTAATTTGTTCCATCTTTGTGTATAAAATAATCTTGATACAGTTAGCATGTATAAAAACAAAACAAAAAAGTTCTATCCCTTTTCCCCCACTGCTTACCAATCCCAAGAGGAAAAGTTGTAGTTTTAGCTGAATGTTAATCTTCTGAATCACGATATGCATTTGAACCCAAATTTTTCTAGAGGTATTTTTTTGTACACTGACTTTCTGACACCACACAGCAGGCTTGAACAGAATGCTCTTGCCAAAAGTCTGAACTGATTACTTGCAGAAACCTTTCAAAATCAGTCTAAGGGCTACACAAAATTAAACTGAGGCAGCTGTTTCCTTATAGAGGCTGCTTCTGGCCTAAGGGGGTCTCTTGTTCTGTGGCTCCCCATCCCATCAGCTACTCCCTCCCCTTAAACTATGAGATAATATTGATGGAAGAGAATGTATGATGAGATTCTTACTCAATGTGTGATAATATACTTAGATTACCAGTTTTTAAAAGGTGAGGGTAGACTGACAGCAAACTGAGGGAATTATCAGCCAGAAGAAGCTATGGCAGCCCTGCTCCCATTGTACCAAGATAAATTACCCAACCCTGAAACCAATCAATATGAGTACTATTACTTTAGCATTCTCAGTGATAATCATCATGGCTGGGGAATTCTGGGAAGTGAAGTCCACACAGCTGGCTAATACCCAGATGGGAAATCTATGTTAAGAGACTTCCAGTTTATATATGATACACTGTTGGTTACCTATTCTAGCCCTGTGTCACATTAGGATTTCTTCAGGCTAAATATCACATTACTAAAATTGGGGATTAAATCAGGAGCTTTCTGAAATATCCCCTCTTCCCAGTTACCATGTCATCTCCAATATTGTAGCTCTATAGAATAGGGAATGGGGCAACTAGGTAATTCCCCTGGCTCTTGGATTAAAAAAAAACTATTGCAAAGGCTTCAAAGAAACTTGGGGTTTATATGCCATAAACAAATTTCTATTCCATGTTGAATAAAAGCACGATTGAAGAATGCAAGACCATTAAATGAATTCATTCATATGTGAATCTGTATGAACTCTGATCTACTGGTAAGGTCCCACTTCAGATGGAGATGGAGTTAGTTCTACTAAAAGCAAAGTATTCTTGGTTGTAGTCTGTTGTTCACATAGCTCTCTTTCTCTCTGTCTTGCTTTTTCAAAAGCAGATTTACTTTCAATAATGCTTTGAAGCAAATGAGTAGTGTATGACTGTTTTCTGAACTCATTGATTTACTGGTATAGTGCTATTATTATTAACAATATTACATATATTGCTGTTCATTTGTATTATCCTCTGGGCCAGTTAGTGACCTAGTCACTTGTTCCCTTTTGGTAAAGGCCTGACAGCTTAATCCAATCTTCCAGCATGGGAGAAAGCAAAATCCTATCTGAGTGAAAAATTCAGAATGGAATCTGCAAATATTCAAACAGCTCTTTCACATTCAGGTCTTAATTTGAATTTGGCTACTATAAATCCTTGGTCCCGACTGGAAGTTTGCTTTGTAAACAGGAGTATTCTTACTTCCACAGAAAACCCCATTGGCCTTCAAGTGTATTCCTGAGATGAGGAAACCAAAGAGAAGAATATGAAATATGGCATTTAGAGCTGCATCAGGATGTGTTGTCTGTCTTCTGCCACAAATAGTTTTTACTAACTCAGATAATCTTTGGATCTGTGTCATAGGGAGTGGTCAATATTCCTGTTATTCTAAACAGCTGCCGTCTGTCTTTGCCTGAACGCAATCAGGATGGAGGGTTGGCAACAAGACAAGCAAAGCTCCATAGTGCTACTAACTCTTGGGTGATTCTTGCTGTTCTCCAGATTTTAAAATGTGTGAAAATACATAAGTAACACAAAATTAAATAACACAAAATTAGTACAAAGCTACATTCTTCCTATGTTATCACATGAAGACAAGCCACACAAACTCATTTCTTATTAAAAATAGTTGAAGGCTCATTTGTAATTAAAAATATGTGGGAAGATACCTGTTGGATCAAACTACTGAATTCTTTCCTGAAAAGATTTCTGATGTGTAGCAGATAGTGCAAGATTTATTTATTTTTTAAATTTTCTGTGTGCTTAACCTTGGCCTTATTTTAATTATAGTGTACTCTGGATTTTCAAGGATACCTTGATTCCATTCCTTAGCTTCTGCAATTACGGAAAATGTTACCAAGCACAAATATAACTATATGATACTTTTATACAGGCAAATACTGTATTTGAATTAAGATTTGGATTAACTCTTATCAAGTATATCAATCATACACTGGAGGTGATGAAAGTGATCAAAGCACATTCCTTTTCTTCCCTGTATGGGTGTATAAACAATACACCCATATAATATGCATAACATAACATAAGCAGTATTGTAAAAGAGACAAATGCATAGAGTATACATGTAGCATAATAGCAATAGCAATAGCACTTAGTCTTAGACTTATATACTGCTTCATAGTGCTTTACAGACCGCTCTAAAGTGGTTTACAGAATCAATGCCCCCAACAATCTGGGTCCTCATTTTACTGACCTTAGAAGGATGGAAGGCTGAGTCAATCTTGAGCCAGTAAGACTGCATTCTAACCACTGCACCACCACAGTTCTTATAATGGACAATAGAGGTCCTAAACCTTTGAATTTCTAATAGTGTGCATGAACAAATGAAAAGCATTATTTTTAGAGATTATTTATAAACTTTTACAAAGAATTTGTCTGATCACTGTTAATGTAATATAATTTTATCTGATCCCAGGCAGATCTTTTTAAAACTCACCTAAAAAGACCTCTGGAAAGTTTTTGTAAAAACATTGCTAAAAGTGTTATATGCTGTTTATGGCATGCTATGGTAGTAAGCTAATGACTGGGATAAATCTATAAATATTTCTAAAACTAGTCTGCAGATGTGACTAGAGATCAAATCCAGTTCAGGAAAATATTTTAGCAAATGTAAAGGTTGTTATAGAGGTGTTCTTCCTGACTTCACTGAACAATGGAACATAGTTTATATTCTGTTGAACTTTAACTGTCACAAAAATAGCAGTTGCTTCTATTAATTACAGAATGACACCATCAAGCATCTAAAAAATCATATTTCTTGCACCAAAATATAATAGCCTTGCATTTTTAAGGATATGCACTTTGCAAACATCAGATGGATTTCTAACATGCAACATCTTACTAAACAATCTAGAATGCTATGGTGAAATATGGAAAATATCAGGATTTTTTTCATACCTAACATTATTAGTGGTTAACTGACTCAGAACTGGTATTCTTAATTAGATATTAGTCTTTCCAGAAAATCATTTTGCATAAGTGTATGCATAACACCACACCTTTAACAATTGTTGATAAGAAAAACCAAAAAGTCTGGATAGTGGATATGGTGCAGAGAGTCATATTCATATTGCCATATACTGGTAAGCCATATAAGAGTGGTGGTGGTGCAGTGGTTAGAATGCAGTACTGCAGGCTACTTCTGGTGACTGCCAATTGCCAGCAGTTTGGCACTTCAAATATCACCAGGCTCAAGGTTTTCTCAGCCTTCCATCCTTCCAAGGTCAGTAAAATTTTCTCAGCCTTCCATCCTTCCCAGATCAGTAAAATGAGGACCCAGCTTGTTGGGGACAATGTGTTGACTCTGTAAACCGCTTAGAGAGGGCTGTAAAACATTGTAAAGCAGTATATAAGTCTAAGTGCTAGTGCAATTGCTATATGGCAGTACTGTATCTGGAGAAAGAACTGGAGAAAATCATAAAGTACAAAGACCTACAAATAAGTAGAACTACTGTGGCAAAAGAAACAAAGACAGTTTAATAATAAAAAGATAGGTGGCTAAAAGTGCCAAATCCTATCTAAACACTTGGCTGACTAAGCGAAACACCATAATGATTGCATTAGTGAAAGAAAGTAAAATATTCATAGGGCATTTTATGGACATCTAGTTTTTATAGTCATAAAAACATATTGTGTTACAATTATTCTTTTAAATGGTTTGCTGATGTCAGTCAGTGTTTAGTAGTATTGAAATAATACCAGGGAGACTCTTGTCATCCAGACAATTCTAGAGTACTTGAGTGTCAGGTATTGGTGGTGCAGCTTCACAAAGAGGAGGTAACAGGTTCTGTGGTTTACTAAGGGAATTTGTTTCCGCAGAGCTAAAAGTATCATTCACTTTGTCAGTTTGAGGAAGCTCCGGACTCTCCTGGTCCATTTCTGGAGTTCTGGGGTCATCCTTGGTTTCCAAATTAATTGCTGGTTTTGATAAGTCTGCATCAGAATGAGGTGATGTCTTCTGGGCATCAAATGAATCAACGTGGACTGAGGTTATACCATTTTGTACTGGAGTTCCTTTTTCTGATTTGAGGTCCTCCAGTAAGTCTGGCCCTTGTATAGAAGGCATTATCTTGTCTGTTTTTTTCTCTGTCAAAATAATTGTGCCCTGTTTCTAAAAAAGAAAAGAAAAATAATATATTAATTGGGGGAACTTAAGCGGGGAGGCAGAGCTATAAGCAGACTTAATTTATAAGTTCAAGTTTTGGAATAATATCCTTCTTGTCTCCTCTGGTCCACAACCTACATTTTTCTTAGCAGAAGAATGACTTAAGCCATAACATCTTTGGATCTGCAAAATCCGGGAAGGGTAAAACAACAGAAAAGAAAAATGCACCTCCCAGATTGGACTTCCATTCTCTTCAGTTCCAGGGTTCTCTTGCTCACAGCATGTGTGGCTCACTTCTTATTTTTGTTGGGCACTAAATTTCATTTCTTTCCTATGTCCATATGGATACAATTCTGAACTGTTTGCTTTTGCAGTAGGAAAAATTTATGACCAGTTCCCAAATGACTTTGACCATTACAGTCATAGGAGAACAATAGGATTATTTTTTAAAAAAAATGAAAGGAAAATAGAAAAAAAAACTAATAAAAGAAATTGAATTCAGCTTCTCATAGATTGCCTCAGATAAAAAATATTTAAAGATTAGTTTGAATATTATGCTTCTGATTTAACTAATTGATTGTTGACCCTATTTTCTTCAGTTTGATTGAATCTCCGTGATCTTTCCTTCAGGTGAGATTTGGCCTCTTTCTCATCTATTTCTTTTATATCTTAGTTTTTTAAATAGTTCCTAGCATCCAACCTCCTGATCTATGGTTTGTATCATAACTCAATGTTAAATATTGTAGGTATCCAAAAGCACATTCCACAATTTAGTTTTCAGCATTCTGTCACACTTCAGTAAAATCAGTGGGTTGGGGGGGGAAAGCCAGGTTAGAACTATGCAGAGTTGACTGAGCCTGGCTTTTAAAGGCTGCAGTCTTTAGGTGTGAGCTAAGACACTGAGCTCGTCGATCAGAAAGGTTGGCAGTTTGGTGGTTCGAATGCCTAGTGCCGCGTAACAGAATGAGCTCCTGTTACTTGTTCCAGATTCTGCCAACCTAGCAGTTCAAAAGCATGTAAAAATGCAAGTAGAAAAATAGGAATCACCTTTGGTGAGAAGGTTACAGTGTTCTGTGCGCCTTTGGTGTTTAGTCATGCTGACCACATGACCACAGAGACATATTCGGACAACACTGGCTCTTCGGCTTTGAAATGGAGATGAGCACCGCTCCCTAGAGTCAGGAATGACTAGCATGTATGTGCAAGGGGAACCTTTACCTTTATTGTTTTTTAATGGCTATTTGAAAAAATCAAGGACATTTTTATAATATAACCAAAGAAATTATCAGAAATTATATTTTAAAAGCTAATACATTTGCTTTAAAAGTCATAAAACTGAATATAAAAAACCATTTTGTTGGTATTATGTTTTAAAATTAAAGCAGTTTTTTCATGCAAGTGGAAATTTTTAGATTTAACTGTTTTGTAAGCAAAGGATTTATTTCTCTTTAGCTGAAAGATAAAGTGATTACAACATTTTGGAAGTTGCTTTTGTTTGCCTTGAAAAAAAATAAAAAAAAGTTTGGAATTGTGGGTGATAGTCTAGCTGGGCATAGTTCTACTGAATTCACTGCGGCATGTTTCAGGTAAATGCAGCATTAAGGTCTTTCTGTAATATGATGTGATTCAGCTCAGTTATTGTCTGATTATTGTATGCTTTAAGAGGAATCTATGTTGCTTTTGAAGGAAAGAAAACAAGGGTGGAGACTTGCATAATAGAATTGATTGTTGTCCCCAGTATTAGGAACTCCCTCTCTTTTGTTTGTTGCTGTTTTGCCCAGGGATCTTGGTTAAGGCAATGAAATAGCAATACAGCAAGCTCAGTGCTTGATACTTTTTTTCTAAAATCATGGGGACACTGAGACATCAGGTATACTAATTACAAATGTCTAGCAACGTTAACATGAATGATAACATTCCCTGGAGCTCAAACAATGTATTGGAGACTTTGAAATAAACACATACTTCTTGCTTCCTGATTAATGTGAATAGCACAGGATGCACATTGCTTTACCTTTCCCTGATAGGGGATGCAGGGAGTTGCTCTGGCATCATAGTTACATTTGAAAGTGAGCTGCTCTTGGAAAATTCTCGGAAGGCGACTCGGCAGTTGAGGAGATGCAAGTGGAACTGTGATTAAAACAACAACCACAACAGAAAAAAATCCTCACAATTAAATAGATCATATACTTTTATATAAATGTGCAATAACATATATGAAATGCATCGATCATGTACAACAGAATGAAGTTAGTACAGGTGGCCCTCAACTTACAAGCATTTAGTTAGTGGCTGTTCAAAGTTACAACAGCACTGAAAAAAGTGACTTGCAGTATGACTTAGTTACAGTGACTTACAGTATGACTTACTGTTGATAAACTTACGGCACTTACAGCATCCCATGGCCATGTGCTCAAAATCCAAAAGCTTGCAACTGGCATGTAGTTGTGATGGTTGCAGGGAAACAGGGTCGTGAAACAGGTTGCAACCTTCTGACAAGCAAAGTCAATGGGGAAATCTGATTCACTTAACAGCCATGTTACTAACTTAACTGCAGTGATTCTTTTAATAACTGTGGCAAGACAGTTCATAAAATGGGGCAGGATTCACTTGATAATTGTCTTGCTTTGCAATGGACATTTTGGGCTATGGTTGTAAGTCAAGGACTACCTGAACAGTAGTGAAAAGAAGGAGGGATTAATGAAGAAGTCCCACATTCAGAATTCTCTTTCTGCTATGGAACTTGCAGTATATCCTAAACAATTGCCTCTCAAAGCCAGATTATTCAGGACAAAGTGTCCTGCGATGTTATTGCAAGCAACTCTTTGTGTTTTCAACTAGCTAATGCAATATAATCTTCTCCCACCTGCATGTTCAGCCTACCATTTCTTCTTCCTTATGGTATTTAGGTACCATTCAGAGGAGGAAATTGTTCAAGAGAGAGTGTCCTCTCTCTCATTCTCTCTGTCTTACATATACACAAATACAAATGCACCAGAGGTGGTATTCAGCCAGTTCTGAAAGGTTCTGGAGAACCGGTAGCAGAAATTTTGAGTAGTTCGGAGAACTGGCAAATAGGCTGCCCCGCCCCTGCTGCCTCCCAGCCACCCAGCTGATCTTCTTTTGTTGCCCTGAACCGGAGAACAGAGATGGAAAGCAGGTTAGTGGGGTGGGATGGGAATGGGGACTTTGCAGTATCCTTCCCCTGCTATGCTGACAAAGCCATGCTACAGAACCGGTAGTAAATTTAACCTGTTCTGTAGCCCAGGGTTGTTGTGAAGTCTGGGTTCCAGCTTAGACAAAGAGTGGAGTACAGGTATAATATGTATATAGAAGTTGCATATAGTGGAAGTCTTTTCCCAGAGAAACATGCATGGCCTCTCATAGTTAACATCTTAGAAGGCCTGGATACATTTTTATTTCTGCCTGAAATTTAATTATTATGTTGTTCTTGAAAAAATATAGTAGCTACTAATGATTTGAAGTACATGCATAAAGCAGCTAAATAAATCCCATTGTACAACTTTTGGGAAACCAACGCTGTTTTCTATTTATGATGAAATTGCAAAGGTCTTAGGTGATATACTTAAAGTTAGGTTTATGGGAAGGAACTGTATAATAAACTTATAAAGCTGTTTTACAATGAGGCAGTCCATTACACATTCGTTTTACTATCCTTTAGGTGCCAACTCTGTCACTTCTTTACTCCAGTTTTTGGCAGTATAATTTTTTCATTACCGTTTATTTGTAGTTTTCTGTCAGATGTTGTTTAGTTTTGTTTTAGTATTGTATTTTAAGTGAAATGGATGCCATGTTTGATTACTAATTAAGGAGGTAATAAAAGACTGGATATCTCATAAATTTGTTGTTTTGTTTATCACAGTGCTCCCAGTTCTGATTGACCATAATTTCCAAAATTGGTTCTAAAGTCTTTTGCTAACTCTGCAACCACAGGTCCTTTGTAACTGGGAATTCCAGACTATGCTTGAGATCTTTCCTGTGAAAATATGCATCTATAAGAAACTATGTCTCTATCTCAAAATTTCTCCCATCAACAGCAAAGAACTGATAGAGGAATAACTGGGGGAGGGAGTAGCGGCAAAAGTCTTCAGGCAAAATATGTAGTTAATTTATTTATTTACTGTATATTCATGCTTAAGTCACATTATGATTGTCTTCCAGTTGTTCCATCGGCTCTACCCAGAAATTTAACAACATATTGAGATGTTGCATTGTATCCTAATCAACCTCCCCTGTTCCCCACACCAATAGACTGATGTAATAAGGTTTGATGCAATTATCTTTTACAATATAAATACATAAAATAGGTAAACTTAAAGTTTTATTTGAATCATCGTAATTCTTGCTGACTACATGAGCTTACACAAAAGTTAACAAACAATGGGTGCCATCTGATTAAAAATAAATCAACTGAAGGCATAACTATGAGTCTATAGAGAGAAGAAGGGCTGCCATAAAGGGAGTCAAGCTATTCACCAAAGCACCTGATGGTAGGACGAGAAGCAATGGGTGGAAATTAATCAAGGAGAGAAGCAACTTAGAACTAAGGAGAAATTTTCTGACAAAACAATTAATCAGTGGAATGACTTGCCTCCAGAAATTGTGGGTGCTCCAATACTGTTTTTAAGAAGAGATTGGATAACCATTTGTCTGAAGTGGTGTAGGGTTTCCTGCCTAAGAATGGAGTTGGACTAGAAGACCTCCAAGGGCCCTTCAACTCTACTAATCTATTCTATTCTATTCTAAGATGCCGAGGGAAATATTTTATTGCAGTAATTTCTGAATGAAACAATAGGCAGCAGGGCTCTTTTAATATATAAGTTTTGCTCTACATATATATTTAAAGTGGTAAGTACCAGTAGCATTCAGAAATGGATTCTCTAATATAGAGTTAAACCATTAACATTTTTCTTTTTAAGCATAATTTACTGATGATGTGTGATAAATGTACATGGTAAGAGACTATCCACTCACGAGAATACTCAGTTAAGAAAAGTATGTGCTCTCATTTAGTAAATTTAATTGATGTCACAGAAAGATTGGGGAATTCTCATTAAGGACAAAACAAATTTCTGTTAAATGAGAATGCATTCTTGCTAATTACATGAACATAAAAGGCCTTGATGCATCAGTGGAAGATCTAACTCCAACCTAATTTTCATTGTAAGAATTGCCACAATCGGCAGGCACTGAATGATTCATCCAACAGTGACCAGAATCCATCATGCGTAGGGTTTGAATATACTTTCCCTTTTTAGGATCGTGACCATGGGTTCAAATGAGTTTTTATTCATTAAGTAAATACATTAAAATGGCAAAATTTAACACTATTTAGAATTTGTAACACTTTTCTTCCTATACTGCTCCCATCTTAGAGCACAGCTAGATAAATATCTGTCAGGACTAGTTTAAGAGGGAAGCTAAACCAGTTTCTGGGTCATCAGGATGTCTTTTCATCTCCTGTAAAAATGCCCGTGAAAAAGTCATCACTGTGCTGGGGCTCTTGTTGATCTCAAAATAAGGATCAAAATGTTAACTTGTTAACTTGTTAGCTTTCAACACCTGTACAATCTGAAAGGACAAGCCATAACTGCTTACATAGGATATCTTTTTGTGATTAACCCATTAACAAAAAGTTCCATCAAGTTCAGCATCTTTCAATAAAGGTTCTTTTTTTCTTTCACTAAGCTGTGGCCAAACATCTTGCTACATTCAGAGTCCTTCAAAAGTTAGCGGAAACATTATGATAGTTGACAGCAAAAATGAATGTCTACATCAGGGCTGGCCTGCGGGCCTGATGCGTCAGGTGCTGGCCACGCCCACGCCTGGTTTAGCAAAGGAGAAAAAAAGTCCTGATATGTCATGTGACGCTGCCATGACAACTTGAGTTTGATACTCCTGGTCTACACTATGAAATAATGAAGTATCCCCTCTACTTGAACAAAGAGAAATTATGATAAATTCTAGTTATCAAACAGGAATTGTTCACTCTTTTGCTGAAGTTAACCAATTTTGTTGTATTTAAGTATAATGACAATAAAGATTATACTTATACTTAAACACCCTTTTGTTCTGGAGAATGAAATAAAAAAGAACTTTTTATTTCCTTTCTCTTCTTTTCTTGTGAGCAGACTGTAATGTTGACATCTAAGTCTGGTTTTAGGGTCATTTTTAGAACAGAGTCTTTATGAATTGTATTAATGTAAGCAAGCCATTCTAGTTTTTGTGTTTCAATCCTCTGTTCAATCCGCTTTTCTTCTTTTCAACTGTCCTAATCTTGTTTTGCTTGTCCTGATTTATGAAGGAATGCAAGCCACCATATGAAGGCTTATTTGGAAGTAATGTATGATGGGATTGACTCTCTGGCAAGGAAGGTTAGAATTTCTTCCTCCAAGAAAAGAATAGCTTATGACCATTGCATGTTATTAGCAAGGTTGCTTGCCCCATTCCACTAACCATCATCCATCTATAGTGCCAAATCAAAATATATGGCCCTAGGACATAAATGAGACAAAGTTAAAATATGGCTGAGAAATCTGCCTGAAATGTAGAAAGATGACACTGTCCAGTGGTAGGGAACTTGTTCTACAGGTAGAAAGTCACAGCAAAGGGCAAAATGGCTGTGTATTGGATAAAAAGCAACACAGTAAACCTAGAGTGGATTGCAAATCAGAAAGAATTTTGACCTTCAATGCATCATAAGAATGTAAACGCTACAGTGGGTCATCTTTGTATCTCAATTAATCCAGAGTTTGGTTCTTTTGGTGGTTAATCAAATGGTTTTTGGGAAGCAGGATATGAGCATATCTATGGACAGATATAAATTAACTTTGTTATGCTTTGTACATTCTTTTTCTATTTTATACAGTGCCTCAGAAAGTAATGCCTCTTGAGACTCTATTGGCATATGTTTCAATGATATCACTACCAATACCATACAGACTAATTTATTTGAACAACATGGTTCAAAATAAGCCTTATAATATATAATAAACAAAACAGATGTTTCCCCTGTGAAAAGGTGACAGTGATTAAATGGGTACAGAGGAAGATTATACAGTACAATATTTTGGACGATGTGCAAGTGGTGTTTAGCTTATGGGAATATAGTTTTATATACTACTCTAGGATACAGCAAATATGTTTAGCAGTTGTCAAAAAAAAAAAAAAAAACCTCCAACAAGCAGTACTAAATAGTGTCTGGCCATTTTTGGTTCTGATTACATCAGTGTTAGGCTTTCTTTACTTTTCATAATAGTAAGATTAGATCAGTCTTTTTTGATAACCGTAGAGTCCAGTCGTTCTAGCACTGTAGACTTACCTATTCCTTTTGAAGGTTGTAACTTAGAGGGATGTTTAAGAGGCCGAGACAAAATACAGTTTGGCTTCTGGAAATCATTCCGGTGAGTGCTCTGCTTGTCATAAGGTGGTTTAGGGCGCTGTACAGTGGGTTCAAAGGTCGGCCACCAATGAGACTTCACAAGCAATAAAAAGAAATGAGTTCATCAATATCACAGTTCTAGAGAAACAAGAATTGAGATCCCCAGGGACAAGCTATATGTCAATTATCCAAGCCAGGTTTGGGGACAATGCTAAAGATTAATGTACGAGTACAGGCTTAAGTGTTCTCCCCTTCCAGCTCCCAACCCGGAAAGAGATAAGACATATTCTTTTTTTTTCTTTTTCATTTTTAAACTACTGTAAATTATAATTATTAGAAACTGAGAGACTGTGAAGTCTGCTCCTTTCTCTCTCTGTCATCCCAACCCACCTCACTGGATTGTTGTTGTGGAAAAATAGGAGAAAGGAGCATTGTTTTTGAATTGAGAAATTTAAAAGGGAATACAATTTAATAAACAGAAAGCTTAAAAAAACTAAAACAAATTAGAATCAGCACAGGCTACTTTCACAAATCCTAATTTGTCCTGATTTGAGTGCAATGGCAAATTGTGCCTTGTTTTAAATATTGAATGTTTTCAAATGTGTTCTTACAGCTATGCTATAGCATTGAAGAGTGTGTGTGCTGCAGTCCAGATTTTGCCTGGTATCATTTGTATGAGTTGGACTTCAGTTTCATTTTATAATAATTAAATAGTAAGCACCTGTTTTGTTTTTGTATCCTCTGTTTCCATATATAATACTGGCTCATTTATAAACTTGGTATGCATTCTAAGTAGCTTTGCATGTTGTGGTTGAGGATTATTGCGCCATTCTAATAAGTATCTTTCTTCTTTCTTTGGTGTACATTCAATCTTGTCTAGAATATTATTTCTTTCTGGGACTTGAAGGTTAAATATTCTGAATGTATCTGGGCTAAAAATAAGAAAATGTGGAAGAAAAAATGGAGGAAGAAAAGAAGGATGAGAATGAAAGTTAAGGTTAAGATTGGGAAATGCTTGTTCTCAAATAATAAAGGCAATACATTATCCATCTGATGTACAAATTTAGGAACGCAGGAAAGTATATATTGAACCATTAATCAAAGTAACCTTCTCCACAGTTATCACTGTTAGTTGTAGTCAAAAGCATCTAGTGCAGGGGTGTCAAACTCGTGGTGTCACATTGTTGTCATGTGATGTATCGTGACTTTTCCTCCCTTCACTAAACCAGGGGTGGGCATGGCTAGCACATGACACATTCAGCCTGTGGGCGGCGAGTTTGACACCCCTGATCTAGAGGATACTCAATAGAAAAGACTGTTACCTGAGTCCTTTAACAAGAGATACTGTGGATTTAATCTGGAAGTTATGCATATCGTAAATATGAATTGATACTAAAGAATGAAATCCTTGCTTTTCTTGTTCAATTTCTAATACTGTAATATACCTGGATATAATATCCAGGGACGTGCAGGCAGGGGAGGCAGGGGAGGCGGGGCCTCACCAGTGTCATGAGGAAAAGAAAAGAATTTTTAAAATAATTAAAAAGGCTTAGGTAGTTGCTGCCAGACTCCAGAGTCACAGTGACTTTGAGTCTGCTTAGTGCTAACTATAGGGGCGTGATCCTATGAAATGGTCCCATGGTCAAGGCAGATTTGGTATGAAAGTTCCCAAAGTGATAATTTCTATTTATTTCTTTTTCTACTTCTTAAACGCAGCTAAAGTGAAATATAGAAAAAGAAATAAATAGAAATTATCACTTTGGGAACTTTCATACCAAATCTGCCT